AGTCAAAATCATGTTCTAGTTGAATTGTATTGGTAGTTTATCAAATTGCAATCAAAGTCAAAATAATTAAACATTAGTAGTATATGTCTCGAAGGAGTCCAAAATGTAAAAATATCCAATTAAATCACATATGATCGAGGGAATACAATTAAAAGTTTAAAGAGTATTAAAAGAGTCAAACGAGTTATGCTCCAAATTCGCAATCGCAATTTGTAACGCATTTTTCACATAAAAAACATTAGAATTTCGACAAGACTATTTCTAGAAGAATTGTAACCATTTGGTTAGCTTTCCAATACATTTTGAATCACATCAATCGAACATCGTAAGAGAAAGTTATGATGAAAATACTAACGACTGCTCAACTGCCGCTCCTTTGTCCTTGGCCTAGCGCTCGAACGACGTAGTTATCCGATAAACAAATTTTCAAGCTGATTTTGAGTTCCTTTTCATCCCAAACACTACCCATCATAAATATACACTCCATGGGACATCTAAAAGTGTGGTTGATCAATATTTTGATTATAGATATCATTCTTTGAAAATCCAAACGTCATTTCATTGATTTCTCAATTCAACAACAATATTATTTATTCATTATTCAACCCATATATTAATCCAATTATTAGAGTTTTGTTGTAAATCAAGAGCATGTTCTTTGAAAACCAAAAATATATTTCAATATATCTTGCATCAGCTAACAAGATCAAATGTGTGTTTCTAGCAAACTAGTTTCGTCAACCCAAAGAACGATGAGTTCTTTATTTAATCTACCGGAGATAAATCGATACTAGGAATGAGGAGCAATTGTAGAAGCACAAATTCAGGAAGACTGAGGTGATGTACCGGAGTCGGGATCTGGCGTCGGGAGCACGTAGTCCAGAAGAGCTAAGATATAAACTAGGAGTTGTGATTTGTTTTTGAAGGAGCACACCTCCCGTAGGATTAAGGGAGATTGCAGGAATTAAAGTCAGAAAATCTACGAGGTAGACAAGTCTGGACTATAATGTAAGTTTGTTTCGATCTATAGTGGATTATTAACTGGCAAAGTGCTTGAAATTTTTACTCAATTATGGTTTCTCTGTGATCATCTTTGTGTGTGTGTTTTTTTTAATTAATGATTGTGTTATTCAAAATTAGGATAAATTGACTTGTTTGATCTAATCATCTAGAAACTATTAAAAAATGTCTTGTTACTTTTAATTGTGTAATTTTGAACGTTGAGTCTAAAAAATTGGCAAATTTTAAACTTTCAGAGAAATTAGACATCAATAGAAGTACACTTCTTGAATAGTTTCATACTACTGCTCAAGTCCCATTGTCAATGTATAGCTCAAGGGTGGGGAGTTCGATTCCTGGA